ATGCTTCTGGTCTTTTCTCCTTTTCCCTAATAGCTCTCAGCCCAAGACTGTCCACTCTGGAGTATAACTTTGGAGCAGGGACTTTGACTTGTTCCCCTTGGGTTTCACCAGCACTTGGAACAGTGCTGGGCACTCTGAGCATTCATAAAATGTTTGAATGAATGAGCGAATGAATGAATGAAAGCCAGGAAGTTGCAAAGTGTGTTCAAAGTTAAGTTTATTTTACATAAACCCCTTGACTCTTGAAGAGCATTTAGATGGAAGGTTTTGGAAGATTCTCCTTATGAAAGTCCTTGAATTTTGGCATAGGGAATTTACTTAGCTGGTAGAAGGGATTTCTGGTAATATATTTGTTTTAATGAGATTAATTAGGAGGTAGTGTGCAGGATGAACTGGAGGATACAAAGATCGTGTGCAGTGTGTTCACTCGCATCTTCGTATTCCGGCTCCCGTTGTTCCTGGGTTAGGCCTTGATCAAAGTAGAGTAATAACCTAAAAGCTCTCCTTGCCTCTTGTCTCTCCCTAAATAACGTGGTGGCAGCAGAATAGAAAGGATCAAATAAAAGAGGTATACTGAAGGAAAAATTTCAGGTGTTAGGAAATAAACACTCCTGAAACAAATAGGGGAGTTACAAAGCATAGATTTTTTTTTTGGAGAGGACAGGCGATTTTTGTTCCTAGGGGTCTTCAGACAGTAAATTTTTATCGCCCACCTGTGTGTGTATGTGTATGTAGTTTTTTGAACGCTGAAATTGTACATTGAATCCAGAGACAAAGTTAAGACTGTGAGACTGCCACCCTGTGGACAATTTAACTTAGAACTAGAACCCTCAAGAATTAGAGTAAAATTTCATTCATTTGAAAAACACTGTTTTGGAACTGATGAGGGTTCTTCCACATTGGTATATAGATATATGCTCATTAAATAGAAAGTTGAAATTAGTTTGTTTTTCTGAGGCTTTTAAATAAATAGAATCTGAAATACAATCAATAGCTTAAAAAGTTACAAAAAAATTCCAGAAAGGTTTTTAGATGGCATACTTCATTTCTCCAGAAATTTCATATTGAAGAGTGTGTTTTTTAAAACATTGTGGCATGAAGGCCTATTGTAAAATGGTCTTTTCTTATATTGTACTATTTTTTATCTTAATTTATAATACATGTGGTATTATCCTTAAGAGTTATATTTCTTGAGAAACATGAAAACTCCGCCCCCATTTTTTTTTTTTGTCTAAGTGAAAGTGGTCTTCCCTTCTCATTTTTTGTGGAGTTGGATTTTATTGTTAGAAATTCTCCATGTTTGATGAGTTGCCTTAATTGTATTTATGTAAAGAATTTGGATTTTATTATTTATTTGGAAGGGCAGTCAGCTTGCAAATTAAGCTGGTGAAGTAGCTTGAATCCAAACGACATGGTGATTGGGAAAGACTTATTTGCTCTGATTCAGGAAACGTTTCTGCCTTGGACTCTTCCCAGACTTTCCCAGGAGATGAGCTGTGTTTACAGCCGATGTGGTGAATGGCTTGCACACTTGTATTCCCTGAAGTGTCAGGACGGGCGGGGTAGCTGTTTAGCAATTGAAATTTGTGTTACTGGTAAAGCATAAGTGGGCTGAAGCAGCATTCTGAGGTCGATGTGTTCTCTCTGAATGTAACATCCAGGCTGAGGAAGAGAACAGATGAAGTAACCCTCGCCCCCTAAGTTACCTTAGGGACCTGATATTTTGGTAATTGAGAGATTTTCAAATATAATGTTAATGATGTTAAATATTTCTCTTGACTTTTTGTTTTTTAAATGTAGCTTTACAAACATGATAATATACTTTAAATGTCTGGTTTCATTAACCTTTTTCAAAGTGGATGTATGGGATTGTGGGTGACTTCTAAATTATTTTTGCTACTTTTATATCTTCTACAGTTGATATATACTGTGTAATTTAAAGCAAAGTAGATGATGAATTGTGAAAATGCTTGTTTATCTAGGCCCATACGTCTTGCCATATAAAAAACAATATTATTTGGGTATTGTTTAAGGAAAGTAACTTTCAAAATACTTCA